TCTACATATCTTATAATTAATATAATATATATATATATATATAATATATATATTATACATATAATTTATAAAATATTTCTATTGTCTATGACACCACAAAAATATATACAAGTATAAATATATATCTTGTAAGTCTATCTATCTATCTATATGTATATACATATATCCATACATACATACATACACATATATATATGTATATATATTGTAGATCATCTATTGTTAATGATTTGAATAAAAGATCTACTGCTGATTTGCCAAAAAGTCTCACCATTTTCCATTCAAGAGTCAGACCCTTTCTGTGAATCATAAATATTACATATTTGATTCTGTGGTGACCATGTCCTTGCTGATAAGATAAGAGATAATCATAGGGTACTCATAGCTCATGAATTGTATTTTCATTAGATTTTTGCCATGATAAAATCTCGCGTCAAAACAACTTGTAAGCGCGCAGGCACTATCAAGTCCATAGCCAATCATTACTGATAAAAATTTAAAAGAGTATTAGTACCTAATCATATCAATGTCTACAAGTTTGACGCCATGCTTTTTCAAAAGATATCCTAAATTTTACAGATGTCTCACAAACCATTTCTTTATCTAAAGCCCTTTCATCAAATAATGAAGTATTGCTACTCAATGTAAAAACAGCAACATAGACTATTCGTACTTAGCACTGGCTCATGTGTATTTCCAACAAATATTAATTTTCCAGGTATTAACTCATTGGCGTTGGGTTAGTACACTATCAATGGTAGTTTTATGTATATTTTTTTTAGATAGGTAACTCCAAAAGTGCTTAATCATTGAGGAGTCAATGAATAGGCCTACCTCACCTGCTTTCCCTATTACTGAATTTCCAGAAAAACAAATTCTATAATGCAATTAATATCATTACTGTGATTACAATTATCATTACGATCATGTTGTTTTTTAACAATAATAATACAATTAACAAATAAAAATCTTCCTTAAACTCAAGGAAGAGAATTGACAAGTATTTGTCTGGAAACAAAGCTTTTATGGAACCATATACCTATACTCAAAATTCATATAATAAAATCACAAGTTCTGGTTTCATTCACCTTGCATTCCATACCATCACAGAGCATGCAAAATGGGTGGTTATCCCCAATGGTTAGCCTGACCACAAGATTGGGTGTCTAAATCCCTCCCCCCCAGGTTTGTTTTCCTCCCTTTGACAAAATTCAGAGTAACTGCTTTCGATCTCCCCTTTGTCACTTTCCTCTGGAAAATCTGCAATGCACCACTTTTGCATTCCAAGGGTTACCCTTTTTTTAAGCTGTCTTTATCTATCGCTTTTCCCATTTCAGAGTAACTTGTTCTTCTTTGGAAATTCTTTCAATATCTTGATGTCAATAATTTTTCTATTAGCATCTGGAGAAAAAACCCTTTTCCCTGGAAATTCAGGCAACTGAGAAATACTACAATATCTATTGCATTATTTAGGCAATTCATGGTTACATAACAAATCCTTGACAACTTTATCTACGGTTATCTCAGTGTTTCAATAATGACTTGGCCATCTGAAACAATTGTCAGAATTATTAGCAGAACTAGGCCTATAACAAATGTGCACACCTACTCTACCCTGTGACATCTCAATTTCACATGTTACTACTTGACAATCACTTCAAGTTAAATAAGCTAGTGATCCATTTCAAACCCTACCACTAAAAACTTGATACATCAAATATAAACCCCATACTAACTCACTTATCTGACTAACATTCCATTCACATGAAATTGTAATCAGACAAAAGCAATATATATAAGTGTCTTATCTTAATCTCAAAGGGAAACACCATTTTAGCCTTAAATAAATCCAGCCACCTGTTCTACTTACTTTTCCATAACAGAAAACTTTATAGATTCCTTGCACTGTCCTTGAAGGTTACATGCTTGAACTAGTACAAACCGACATGAGGTCAAACAGCATCTTGCCTTTACTAAGGTCCCACAATTACTCCCTCAATACTCTTTCTTGACTTCTGCAAAAGTATAATCTAATTTCAATCCCCCCTACACTACTCCCTCTCTCACTTTTGCCGGAATATCCATATATGGGACGACTAATACTATCAAATTATTTTTCAATGACCGTACATTACTACTGATAAGATCATACATAAGCAGTGAGTGTAAGTTACAGCCAGACTAGACTATATGAGGAAATACCTCAAATAGAATTCTGCAAAGTCATGTATATAAGTGCTCAGCCTGTGGTGAGGGTGTATTACAGGTGATCAAGATTGGTGTACAAGAAGGAATTCAATTGAGGTGGACTATGAATGGTTACATTCGATAACACTATAGATTACCAAACTTAAAATCACAGATTAATTCCAATCTCATAATGAAAACCATTTTCATTTCTCTCAATTTTGGACACATACTCCCTCCAATTCCTTTTCACATTAAATTTTGGTATAGTATTTAACTTAATATTTTAATCTCTGAGTGGATGAATCTAATAAAAATAAATAAAAAAGAATGACCTATGAAAGTACTCATTTACAACATTAAAATTTTAATTTATGGAAATTCATACAAATTGTATCTTGAATTATCATAAAATATTTTAAATCATGTTAAATACACATAACACATTACATGCTTCTAACCATGCATCACAAAATACAATAATTAAAAGATCTAATATTAGAATCTGGATCTATTAGAAATTACTTTGCAAGAATGAGATGAAAACTGCTCAAAGTCATGACATATACAAAGTAAAAAGTTAAAGAGCTACATCCTAAGTAGCTTGTGTAACTAATTAAAGTTATTACAGCAATCAAAAAGGTTGTAGCAGTTTGGACGTGTGCAGCAAGTGAACATGACACTTGCTTTCTTTTCCTTAGCAAGAGCATGAAAGAAAGATTTTTTATTTATAGACAGCAGAAAGCAAGATAGTTGGTGCAACTGCAGTGGTAGTATACACGACTTACTTTATCATTAAAGTATCTCATTTTTCTTTTCTAGTTATAGCGTATGTATATCTATACACACACACACATACAAACTTGTATATATAATAACATGTAAGTACATTTAAGTTTCTATGAAAATATGAAACAAATATCCAATTCTCTATAGCAGCAGTATTCACTCACCTAACTGACACCTATCCATCCATAAAATATTTTCAAAACAATTACCAAAAGATTAACAAACTCCTGCTAACCACAGAGAAGAGACAATTTCAAAACATTATTTTGAAAAGCCACTCAAATTTGAAGAGTACATTACATATATCTCGAAAGAGTATTACTTATATCCCCAGTTGTTAAAAGGTTACTTGCATTACCATATATACAAATATATATAACCCCTCTTTGATTGACTTTCATCATTTTAATAATCATTAACTTCATGGGAATATAAGTTTTGGCAGAAAAGAATACTGTCAATACTTCAATCATTACTTCAGATTAGCAAAACTATAATATCTAATTTAAAACATAAACCCTGTAACTTATATCTTACATTAATTTCAGCATCATGATCTTTAGTTACGACATGCTTAATTACTTAATTACAAACTACAATGAATGCAGATGTATGTGTATTATGCCACTGGGAAATAACCATCTGCAAGGCAATGACAAAAACAATCAAATCCAATTCCAATATCCTAGCACTGTTCTCTTATTCTAAAAAATCAACTATTCAATTAATCAAATAAAAAGATAATTCCCTGAACTTGAAGTCAGAAAAGTTATGCAAGTTTTGGGAACCGTATAACTATAGTAATTCAAAGTTTCATTTACCCGTATCTCATTAAAGATGCCACTCTTAATTCCAAAAGTTAAAAATGTCTAACAATATTACAACAGGGTAATAACAGCAATGCCTTTTTAGTGACTGACATAATATATATTAAAATCAAACAAAGTTCAATGACATGAGGATGAAAATCATAATTGAATATTTTTTTTTTTAACCTTGCATCAATTTTCAAATCCTACATTATCACGTAATTCTCATTAGAAAAATAACTCAAAGTAGACTACATATGGTAATTTTCTTCATAAACTCTCTCTATCCATTAATCATTCTCTAAGATGAGATGACTACTGCATATCAATTATAAATTATACAGAAGGACAATACATATATGCTGACAATATCCCCATTCATAGACTAGGGAACTGCCTCCTTTAGCACATTTTGCAAGATTCCCCCTTTGTCTCTCACGACGACACAAGCCAAGGCCATTTCTAAACCAATGTCACACAATCGTTCCTCCTAATCCTCTCAAAGTCTTTTCCATTACATACTAATTTAGATAAATTTCAAGTCTTTCTCTGCATTTCCTCTGACTTTGTGATATAGCATAAAAAATATATTAATAACATACTATCCACAATCTACGTATCATAGACCAAAGACTTCCTCTCACCTGCCTAACTTTGGATCCATAAGCTGGTTAATACCGAGTTCCCAAACACCACTTGATTACTATGAAAGAGTTAGACAATAGCAACTACATTCAGTAATAACCAACAACATACTTACAGTATACTACTCATGATAGGTATGCTTAGCAAAGTACTTTCTAATGAGGTGAATTAAATATTGTTCACTTTTAAATAAGGTTAACTAAAGTTTTAAAAATCTAAAAAAATCAAAAATCTTATTTACAATTATTCATGACAAATGCTATCAATCAGACACTACATTATGGGCTATGAAAAAAATTGTCAGTATTCAAAATAATACTATTCTGATTCTACAAAAAGAAACATTCTCCAATGCCATGTCACTGAACAGTGCCAAACCACCTTTCATTCACAGCATCCAAAACACTTCTAATCATAACACTTGCTACATTTTACTAGATCATAACAAAATCTATCTACATTCTCTAGATCGTAATATCTAATGTCAAATATTCCTCTATCTTACTTAATAATAATAGAGCACAAATGTAAATTCAAACACTTAAATCTTGATGCATAGAAAATGAGTTTAAAATTTTTTTTTAAGTTATTATGTGTATCATGTACTACCCATGACGACACTCCTAACTAGAAGCTTGGAACTTTGAACTTGTTTCTCCAAAGACCAAATATCATATAATAAAAGACAATCTCCACTAATCACATTTATCAAAGGAATATACAGTAATATATCCATTTCTGTACCTGGAATAAAATCAGTATTAATATATATCACTAGCAATGGCACTGAATAAGGTTGTAAACGAATTCCCAGTCTTATTGCAAAAGTTAACAAGCACAAACAACAATACAACTTCCCAGTCTTATTGCAAAAGTTAACAAGCACAAATGATACAAATTATCAGGACTACAATAATCATATAAAAATTAACATTAAACCAATGTCTGAAAGCCTTAACTTCTTATCTCTCTAGACCCATTCGATGTCCCTTAGTTACAAGTCTGTTCTTCCTGGATCCCATACAAATATCACTCAAGTCAATCTTAAGGCTTCTTCAAAACCTTTTTCCAACATTCTGATCCAAAGCTGACTCAAATAACTATACAATAAACAGTATTCAAGCAACAAAAAAAAGGAATTATCTTATACGGTCTCATTCATAACACACAAATTATTACATCTTTCTGATTCATATCACTGTGGACTGTCACTTCACCTTACATTGTTTATCAAGTTTGAAAAATCTCCCATAAGACTGTCAAACTCTTCTGAGACTTTAAATCCTAACTCTTTAATCAAACAACAAAGTCACCAAATTCATCACAATTGCCTTAAAGGTTGCATTATCCTCTGGAGGCATTTGCATTCTATTGTTTACAGTAATATGACCATGTGTCACTCACTCTCCACGACTGAAACCCTTCCCCAAATACCTGAAGATATCATAATTCTAAGTAAAGGCAAGGCCTAATGTTGGGCCTAGCAACACAATAAGCCTATGCCAGGAGCAGGCAACATGACAGGCCTATCCAACTTCTGATCATGTGCCATGTATTAAAGGACCTATGGAAGGTAAAACTAAACTCACCTTTGAGAAAGCCTATGTTGATAATGCACTGTTGTGCTGAGCACATACTTCTCCACCCAGTCCTACATGGTTTGTGCAGGACCAGGGACCATTCAGCCTCCCCTTTGTTCTGAGCCTCGCCAGGGATGCAACATGCCTAAAAATCAATAGCCACCACTCCAACCAGTGAGAGCCATCCCTCCATTCTCATATTATAGGCCTATTTCCTCCATTAAATGCACTAAACTTCGATAAACTATCATCTTGTCACCTTCACTATACACTCTGACATGCTCCAGACACAAAACCAAGAATGCGAACTGCGGAAATCTACCTGTGTGATGCATGGTGTTGCAGCGCGTTGCAGGGTAGGCCTGGTAGCGGGGGAGCGGCTGGCTGGCTGGCTGTGGCAGGCAGCAGCAGCAGGCCCACTTACACGGCCAACTTAATCAATAATTTCCCTCCCTCCCGCTTCTCTCTCCCCCCAACTCCCCTGTAAACCTCTCTCTCCTGCCACTAATATACTTTGTGCATAACAGTTTTCATGAGATGACCAATGGGCAACCTGGCGACGTTTAATTGAAATTGGTTGTTGCGAAACTGGCATCGCCCTCACATTCTGCGTTTCTCCTTCTCGGTGACGCATTCAACCCAAATAAACACTGACACCTTTTTGTTTGTAAACACTTCCCTCTGCCTCTCTACGGCATTTCTTCCCTTCTAACTTATTCTATGGAACTTTAACAACATGCTGACTTACCTTAAATCTACATGCGCCCAGTATTTTAAGCGGAGGCGCTGAAAATATCACAAAAGTCGCACTAAAGCCACTCATGACATGTTTTCGAGACGGTCAATGAACTCATTGCGTCTTTGTTAGTTGAGGTTCCAACAATGTGCTCGGACTCGGAGGAAAGCCTATAGACGACAGAATCCCCTTGTGCGTACGGTCTTCGATCCTTTATATTATTTTTCGCTTGGTATTAGATCCTACTAAAGTTTTCAAATTAAGGGTTTTGATTCTACAGATATAGCTAGTAATCATACCCTTAACTTTGAATATTTCTTTTGAAGTTTTCTCCATAGTGAATTGATGACACATTCTTTTCTGTGTTTTGTTTAATATCTAAGGTGTCACTGTATTTTTTACGTACACTTACACAAATTCCTCTATGAAGAAGAAGTGGTGAAAGCATATATTTAGAAGACTTTACTTTGCACATAGTAAAGTATTATTAGGTCTTGTTTACAACTTTTCTACCTGTCCCACGCATGCAGTATGCCAAATAACGCTCATTTATATAGTTAATATGAAATATCTACATGTCAGACTCCCATGGGACATTGGGAATAAATCCCTTATTCTTCCAAGCTCGAGAATTTTGCGTAAACTGAATAACGAGATGGGGAATACGGCGTTGATTGAAGGTGTAATTTGCTAGAGGCTTAGGTGCAACCTCGCCTCACATGCATCCAGCGGTCGATACGAATGCAGAGCGACCGCCAAGTTTGAAAATGTAATAAAGGTCTGGCCTCGGATTCGCCAAGACTTTGCGTAAGATTTCCCTGAACTGCTACTCCTAACTTTTCCTTTAATGACATTAGCAGCGTCTGACATTTATTACTGCTATTTGTCATAGGAACCTAACAATATAACGTTTATAGCATGTCATCGATGGATTATCAATATCCGTGTATTGAAGAAGGAATCATAATACGCAGGACTTCAATTCTCATGTCCTTTTAGCACATGAGAATTGATTCATTATGAATGTATACGTATAGTTTATTACGTACAGATTTTTAAAGTTGCTGTTTAATGTTGTCACATGAGAGTTCTCATGTTTAAAGGGATGGTAAGAATTATCATAATTCATTAGGCTCGAAATTCACTCAATATTCATGCTTTGCATCATTGTTATCATTGCATCTATTGTGAGTATTTTTGCGCGTAGTGTACAACATACAAGAAGTTTGTGAATTGAATTATTTCATGGTTAAAGTTTTAAGAATTATCAGGTTCGCTTAGTTTTCATATAGTTAAAATCAGTGACGTGTTTGCTATTTTCAGCCTGCCTATGCTTAATTATAGTTTCTTTTTTATATCGTTAATATGATAATTAGTCCCTGACAGTATTTTAAGTGCAGGTAATGTTTTCTAGTTTTTACCACACATTTGTTTACATTTAGTTTGTGGTTTTACTATATCAGTAGTAGTGTCATTATCATTATCATTGCTGTTGTCAGTTTTATTACCGATATTTTTAAATCTTATTTGTGAATTGGTGTTTTTAGTGAGTATTCATTATCATCGTCATTATCATCATCTTAAACATTAATGTTGTTCTTTATATCATTGTTTTTGTTATTGTTTTGATATTTACCTTTATAATCAATTTTTGTAATTATCATTATGAACATCATCACATTATTTTCATATCACCATCATCTCTGTGATCATTATTATCTTCATTGTCATCATTTCAAAATTTCCCTTACTACTTATCATCATCATCATTGTCATTGTTGTTTTTAGTATTTTTACTTATATCAGTAATATAATTAAATGTGATCTCTATTATCATTGTCATTTACCAACATTATACCGTAATTGCAATCATGTCAATCAACATTGTTATTAGTAGTATTTTTAAATTATTATTCTTGTATTGACCACAGTTTTGATTGTTTCATGATTATATTTTCTGTCATTACTATTACGGTCGGATATAAGAATATTATCATTTTATTATTAATATCATCATCATAACAGATTATATGATCACTATTATTATTATTATCATTATTATTATTGCCTGTATGACTGCCCGAAATAGGAATAGTGTTATTAATATTATGATCGTTGTATGTGTATTATCATTATCATCATTTGCAGTACTAGTATTGTTTTTTGTTGCTGTTCCCATTATTTATCAATGCAGTTGTTGGATTTTAGTTTCATCATTACTATTGCTACAACAACAATAACTACTACTGCTGCTGCTGCTATTATTATTATTATTATTATTATTATTATTATTATTATTACCACCACCACCAACAACAACAACAATATTACTACTACTGCTACTGCTGCTGCTACTACTACTACTCCTACTACTACTACTACTACTACTATTATTACTACTACTGCTGCTGCTACAACTGCTACCATTTTATTTTCATGAGAATTGCAACTTTGATTACTATTGTTATTAATTGCATTGTCTTCATTAGCATTTTATGATATTAATAGCATTAATATTGCTTTTACCAACATTATTAATGTATGAGAATATAACCAACTACTATCATTACTACATCATTTTACCACCGCTACCACTGTCACTACAACCGCTGTCACTACAACCCACTTACTATGTGTCCGCTGTCACTACAACCACTACTACTATCACTGTCACTACAACCACTACTACTACCGCTGTCACTACAACCACTACTACTACCGCTGTCACTACAACCACTACTACTACCGCTGTCACTACAACCACTACTACTACCGCTGTCAATACAACCACTACTACTGCCGCTGTCACTACAACCACTACTACTACCGCTGTCACTACAACCACTACTACTACCGCTGTCACTACAACCACTACTACTACGCTGTCACTACAACCCTACTACTTTCGCTGTCACTACAACCACTACTACTACCGCTGTCACTACAACCACTACTACTACCGCTGTCACTACAACCACTACTACTACCGCTGTCACTACAACCACTACTACTACCGCTGTCACTACAACCACTACTACTACCGCTGTCACTACAACCACTACTACTACGCTGTCACTACAACCACTACTACTACCGCTGTCACTACAACCACTACTACTACACTGTCTACTACTACCGCTGTCCACTACAACCACTACTACTACCGCTGTCACTACAACCACTACTACTCCCGCTGTCACTACAACCACTACTACTACCGCTGTCACTACAACCACTACTACTACCGCTGTCACTACAACCACTACTACTACCGCTGTCACTACAACCACTACTACAACCGCTGTCACTACAACCCTACTACTACCGCTGTCACTACAACCACTACTACTACCGCTGTCACTACAACCACTACTACTACCGCTGTCACTACAACCACTACTACTACCGCTGTCACTACAACCACTACTACTACCGCTGTCAACCACTACTACTACCGCTGTCACTACAACCACTACTACTACCGCTGTCACTACAACCACTACTACTACCGCTGTCACTACAACCACTACTAATACCGCTGTCACTACAACCACTACTACTACAGCTGTCACTACAACCACTACTACTACCGCTGTCACTACAACCACTACTACTACGCTGTCACTACAACCACTACTACTACCGCTGTCACTACAACCACTACTAATACCGCTGTCACTACAACCACTACTACTACAGCTGTCACTACAAACCACTACTACTACCGCTGTCACTACAACCACTACTACTACCGCTGTCACCTACAACACTACTACTACCGCTGTCACTACAACCACTACTACTACCGCTGTCACTACAACCACTACTACTACCGCTGTCACTACAACCACTACTGCTACCGCTGTCACTACAACCACTAATACTACCGCTGTCACTACAACCACTACTACTATCACTCACTACAACCACTACTACTACCGCTGTTACTACAACCACTACTACTACCGCTGTCACTACAACCACTACCATTGCGCTTACTACCTCTTTTTCAGATAGTCGTCATTCAGAATGGAACCAAGATCATGCATACCCACACAGCACGCGCTTCATTCACTCATTGAACCGCGTTTCGTAGTCGACTCCGTGACCGCCACTTCGTTTTTCATAAGACAGAGCGACGTTATATGTCAGTGCTGTTAGAACGACTATTGTTGATACTGGCGATAGTGAAAGAATGCAAACGATGATGGCAATAGTGATAATCCTCTTATTATTATTATTATTGATATCGCTCCAGTAGGTTTTATTTCCAAGGGTATTGTCATTGGGACAATTATGTTTATTATGTATTTGTAGTTTTATTAGCACTATCATTACAATCATTATTGCATTTTCGTCATCTTTTTTCTGTATTTTTTAACTCTAGTTGTAGTTTTCTATTCTCTTTAATTTTACTGCGTTCATTTGTAGTATCGTAAATACCTTAATTTTTATAATTATTATCTATATTACTATAATCATGTTCATAATATAATGACCGAGCGCTATGTATAATACCATTAAACTTGTTAATGCCAAGATAATTACCATTCAGTTTATCGTTAACTTTACGGTTACATGATAATCATGTCTTGCCACGTATCGATATAGAAGGTAATTAAGATTCTTACAAAGATTTCTTTATAATAGTAGTTACAGATCCTGATATTTAGTAACAGTAATGATGATAACCCACTCTCCCCGTGAACATATTAGTTAATAATGTAATCCTCTTTAAACAGATGTTTTGCTGATAACGTATTATCCCTCATTTCATTTTCAGTAATCTGTAAATGGCTGAAGTGTGAAACAAATGGCAGTTTTATTTACTTTTTATATCTGCTTTTCTCACTGTAAGATCTGTTCGTCTTCTTTTGTTGGGTTTTAGACTATGCTGCAGTCTACTCCGTGATGTTTGCCTGTTCTGCGGTTAACTTAAATCGCGCGCAGTTTTTACGAGTACATCCAGGTTTTAAGTTTAAAGTGGGAGGAAAGAAATGAAGGCCGGGATTTAAGATGCATCAAGAACATGTACGTTAAAGTGTGCCAAGAGATCGCAAACGCCAAGGTACAAAAGTACTTTCATAGTTCACAAGCG